TGGTCACCCAAGCCCCTCAAACCCCACCAGACAACCAAACCTCCTCTCCATTCTCTCCAGTCTCAGAGACTGTTGGCCTTCTCCCTAACCATCTTTCCATCCTGCTCCTTCGTTGACATTCATCTGCCCCGTTCATCTTGTCTTTGTTCCCTCACTCTGTCCTCACAACTCCTCCTCATTATAGAGATTTTCTCCCATTGGGGGGAAAAAAAGGAAGCCTCCACTTGTTTCCTCTCTTCCCTTTTCTCATGCTTGGATCTCATCTCCTAAGCCTCCTCCCTTGCTCCCCAGGTTTCCCTTCCACGTGTATATCCTTGTCCCCAGCTCCTGTGCTCTCCTTCTCCAATCCCTGGCTTCTGCATCTCTCCTTCTTCCACACACAGCCTACTCAGGTACTCCTTCCTCACTTCTGTTCCCTCTCCTCCTTACTGGTCAACCTCTCAGACCCCTTCCCACTCCAGCTTCCTCACCTGATGGTCCTGGGATTTCTTCATTCACTATCACCTCCAGGGGGTACCCTGACGTGCTAGGCTGGGGGCTCTGGTGCTCAGGCTGGGGACTCGGTGGACGACTGGTCATGATTTCTCCCAAACTCTTCCTTCTTTTCCAAGAAACCTAGACCCTGTTCTGTCCAAAGTCCTCTTCTGGATTCTGGCTGAACACAAGCCCGTTATCCCTTCTCCAGGCTGAGGAGAAGGAGAAGCTAGGAGTGGAGAAAAGCTCAGAAGATGCTGTTGTCCACCTCCGCTGCCAAGCACCACGGAGTTTCGTCCTTCCAATCAGGAAGGTCGGAAGCCTCTGATGTCATCGTCATTCCAACCTGGCAACCAGTTTGAAGGAAAACTCATGTAACTGCCAGACCACTGTGTGTACTTCTGGAGATAAGGGGTAAACCATACCTCCTGCCACTGACCCACCCTCTGACCGTCCTCCACAAGCCTCCTCAAAGTGTCCGGATCACTCCTTACCCCTCCCCAGGAGATGTCCTGTTCTCTCCATTCTAAACTTGAAACATGTAAAACTCTCTCCCTCCCTCCCATTCCTATTTCAGAGCGTGGTCTGGTGGAGAGGGAGGAGAGTGACGAGGAGCCTCAGGGTAAGTGGAAATGGGGAGACCTTGCAAGAGTGAGATAAGTATGTAAAGACCACTGCATGCACATTGACTTGTTGGATTAAAAACTTACTTTAAAACACCCAATCTGGCCAAGCTCTTCTTCTCCATGATTACTGACACTATGTTCAGGATTCTGTGCTGGGGGACACACATCCTCTATCCCCAGGCATCTTTGAGTCCAAGAGACGTTTTGAGAACCTAAAACCACAGAAAACTGTACATGTGCTCACACACACACAGATACAGACGCACACTTCACGTGGTGTCCACAATCTCAGGGAGTCCACGGATTGTCTGAAGCCTGCCCCTCAATTCCAACTAAGAAACTCTAGTCTACATATCAAATATTTGAGCCTGTGAATCACTCTTGACCCAGAAATTTCACTAATGTTTGTGTATCCTGCATAAAATGTCACATGCACAGAACAGTATATGGAAAAATCTCCAATTCCAGACCCAATATGATGTTGCTGTGAAGGTCAGGAGCACAAATGCAGAAAATAGCCAGCTTGTCTAGACGTGCACTAGGCAGTGCCCATCTTAAGATATGTCAGTACATTTTCCAAATATGGATTGAAGTGCCCAGGCCGGGTGTGATGTTTGGGAGAAAATGAAACTATCCCCTCTCCTCTTCTCTCTGCCTCTCATGGAGCAGTTCGCATAACAGTGGCTCTAGCCATAGTGCAGAAATACCAGTAGAGTGAAGCAGGAGTGCTGTGCAGACACCATCCTTTCCACATGAGGATCACAGGGAGAAATTCACATACAGATGCCTGGACCCAGCCCCATAGATTCTAACTCAACATAACTGAGGTGGGGCCTCATTGAACTTTCTCATTGATGCACATTCAGATGTGGAAATTTCTGAGTTGGATGTGCCACCCAGGTCAGGGCAATCAGGATCCTAAAGAAAGCAATGTCACTAGTGAGTGAAATAAACGGGGTGGGGGGGGGGGTGAACGATGATCTGGGTCTCACATGGCAGGGTTGTGGCCAGGCTGAGTCTATTGTGAGTGGACCTTCTGAAGCAGCCTCCAATCCTCCTGCCAACTGGTCCATGACAACTCCACCAGCAGCCTCGGTGCTGTGTGGACAAGGAGACCTGTGAGCAGAGTTCATCCTGAGTACTTACCCAATAGTGCGTGTGCCTGTGAAGAAACTGCCCTCTCCTCTAGGAAGCTCACCCCTTGTCAGGGGCTGCCCATTCTGGCCGATCTGTCAACTTCTAGGGAATAGTGGTCTCTGTAGCTTCCCTTCTGTGACCTACAAGACCTAGAGAAGCCCCTAGGAGAATGACAGCGAGTGCTAAATCACAGAAGAGAGTTCTGTGATGGGGTGATGGGGAAGAAGTGCTAGATATTGACCTTGAGGGTCTTGTGCCTGAAACTAATTATTAAGGGCAAATCTTGGTCATTAACTTTTATCCTCCCCTCCATCATGGCTGAGATATTCTTGGTGGATCCCCAAGGAAGGTTCGTTGTACTCTGTTATTCATTGCCTATCTCTCAAGTGTTACAAAAAGTTGTCTAAACACCAATGTGCCCATTTGTTTGAAAATCTTGTTTTGAAATAAAGATTTGTCATTTATAAGTCGTTTTCAGGAGCATTGTCTCATTTTCTTTGTTGAGGTTGGAAAGCGGGGTTCTAGTATTTGTTTTTTAGAAACAAGGGACCTTCAGTAGTACTTGTGAGAAACGGAGGCCAGGGACCCAGGCTGATGGGTGCACTGCCCAACTTCACCGTGGAGCTTGCAAGGTGCTCAGAGAAGCTCCATCCTTTACCTGCTGAAAACGGAGAAGAACATGGAGAAATGGTCCCCCGACGTTTTCCTGGCTCAGAGGCAGAGGACGTGTGGTCACTGTTGCTCCCATTCCTTGGGTGGGAATTCAGGCACGGGCCACGCTTAATAGCCACAGGAGCTGGGAAAGACCATTCCTGGCCCCGCTGTCCCTTCCAAGAGCAACTTTGGGAACCACACATTTGTGCGCGATCTGGGATTCATCTAATGCAGCAGTTCAGCTGTGGAAATTAGGAAAGGGTGATAGGCTCATTCATTTGAGTGAATCAGTACTCATTATTCCGTTTTTTAGAGCATTTCTTGGAGAAAACTTATCCTGTAAATACCTCTTCTGACCCTTTCATATGTATCTGAATCTTTTTAAATGCTAAGCAAGTCTCTTGCCAGCATTACAACCCAGGGATGTATTTTAAGGGCCTGATAAGAGCTATCTGTTTAAAATGTAAGCCTCAAGGAAGATAATGTCCCTGTCTCTGTCTCCATTGGAGTTTAAGCTAGACACTAGGCACCTTGCTCTGAGCTGTAACTACCTGCTTGTCATAGACACATGAGAAGTTTTCTTTTTCCTTTGGTACAGGCAAGTAACTAGCACAGATGAGCACCCTGACTACCAGGTGAATTTAGGATGCACTCTGAAACAATGCACAGCAAATAGCGCTGTCAAGTCCTTTTACACGAGGCTAGGGACCGTTCCTCTTGAGAACATGTGCCTAATGGATTGTATCTGTTCAGCCACACAGAAGATGAGCTTCATTTCTCTCTTTGCAATCTCATTAGGGGTTCCTGTAACGCGCAACACTGTCTTGGCTTAACGGTTATTCAACAACAAAGCTCTTCCTTATTTCTACGTTTGTGGAGAGGATCTTCTGAGTTGGCAGGAGATTTTGTTTTTACTCCCCTTCTCCAGCTTTTAAGAAACAGTTGGCCAAGAACACAGTCATATTATGTCACCACAATAATAACGATAATCATGGTCCTTCTGATCCTATTTTTGAACAACAGCACTGTTACCTAACATGAACATGATCCTCTTTGAGAGGTAAGATCCCAGGCATCTGTTTTCTTTTTTGGTTTGTGTGTATTTTCTGATTTTTCTACACTTTTTATGCATTGGTTGTGTAACCTAGAAGAGCTACAATTTCTATTTTCTTTTCCTTCCTTGAAGAACCATATGCCCACGGGTAATATTAGTTGATGTCATGGCTGGGCATTAACTGTATCCTAGGATTTTATTGATACTTCTCCTAGTATTTCACTTAAGGGAACATGAGACACTCTTTCCTTCCAATCTCCTGGTTTTCGGGAAATCTCAGTTCTAACCCGAAAGATCTCAGGGTCAGGAAAGGACCAGGGATCCAGGTCACAATCTCACCGCTTCCTAGTCGAGGCGACACCTTTCCTTGATCCCTGACATGAGTGAAGACAAATAGGAAACTGAGTCCCTTGTCCTAGCGGCCAATTTTCCTAATGCACCACCTCACAGCGGCTAGCTGAAGTACAGACTTTTAAGACGTTCCCTAAAGTTGACGGCGCGTAGACTCGCGGGAAATAGAGTTCTGTTATTTGTCCAGTTCCCCGGGGCGGGCCCTGGCAGGCGGACTTCCGGCATCCTCCTGCGCGTGTGCACCTTGCCCTGAGTGCGTGTTCGCGCACGCGCACTGCTGCCGCGCTGGTCCGGCTTCCTGTGCGTGACCAGATCACCGCTCGCCGTCGTTCCCAGGCTTTGGCCTCTGGCGGGCGAACATCCGGGGACCTGCGGGGTTAGATGCCGTCCGGCAGCGCCGGCACCCAGAGGGCGTGGGCTGTGCGGGCAAGGGTTCGCGTCGGCCGGGTGGGAACTGGAGAGGGGACATCTGATCGCGACCCCGGAG